CAACAAAGGACCATGCATGGATATAACCTACAACCCCTGCTCAGACATACCCCATGGTAGCTCAGTATCCAAGTGGGTTCCCTAGTAAGGGGGACAGGAATTGTTTCTGACATGAACTCATGAGCTTCCCCTCCCCCCCTTAGGGAGGAGGAGCCTTGCTAGGCCACAGATAAGGACATTGCAACCATCCTGAAGATACCTGATAAGCTAGGACCAGATGGAAGGAGAGGAAGACACCCCCTCTCAGTGGACTCGGAAAGGGGCAGGAAGGAGAGGAGGGAAAGAGGGAGGGGAGGATTGGGAGAGAAAGAGGGAGAGGGCTACAGCTGGGATACAAGTAAATGTATAAAATTATTTAAAACTAAAAAATATTAAAGAAATAAATCAGAAAAAAAATAAAATGCTGTGGTAGATGTAGTGATGACCTGTCCAGATAAATCAGAATGCTGCATGCAGACAGCTTACAACCATCACCATCTTCAAACTATTCTTCCCAGGATAGCTATATGATTGTATGGAGACCCAAATGCCATACTCCAATCAGAAACACCCTGAAACAGGCTATTTAAATCCTAACACTGTGCCTGTACTGCAGCTCCACCTTTGCTTCTGGCCTTCATTCCTTTCTTTATTTCTCCATAACAACAGCCAATCCAATGACCATCCAGTCTAAGCAATGGCTGCACAATCTAACTAATGGATTGACAGCTTAACCAATGACCTAATGCCATAATAGCTCCCAGAATCTGTATCTGAGTATCCTAGCCCACCACTGCCTTCCCTGAGGTCTCCTTCCATTGGTAGAAAGTCTGGGGAAAGTGTTAAGAGAAACAAGTGTTGTTTTTTCTAATTACATTTGTTATTCTTTTTGAATATCTATTTCCTTTTGAAGAACTGACTTTAGTTGTTTAAAATAGTGTTTGAAAGTTACTTTTCTCAGTGCATAAAGACAGTACTGGAGTTATAAGTCCAGATACTGTACTCAGACCTGCGTGTGACTGTTCCTATATTTCATTCCACAGCTGTACAACCCTGAGCCTTTGTTCTTATCTGTGAAATGAGAATGATACTATTACCGCCCTGTGTAGGATGAATATTAAATGAACATAAAAAGGACAAATATCCATGAGAACAAGAAAGCACTGAGAAGCAGTCCTAAGAAAACCTCTGCACCAAGAATTATACTGTAGTATATGTACATCCTAACTTACAGAGTGAGACCTGGGACATAATCACAGATGCATTTGGCTATGACAATGTTCAGGCAAAATGGCAGATCTGACCTTGTAGGAACAAGTATCACCAAGGCACATGATAGCCTAGCTGAGGACCCTGCAGTGTGTTGCCAATCAACACAAGTCCAGATAGTCATGTAGCACAAAGTCCCAATTTTTTATTCTACCACACTGACTTTAATTACCTTAAACCTTATCCTAATCTCTAAGAGTCATGTGACAAAGTACAAAAGAATTTCAAATACCTAGGTCTATCTGGGTGGTTTTGATTTTGGTTTGGTTGGTTGGTTGGTTGGTTGGTTTTGGTTTGCTTTGGTTTGGGGGGTTATTTTTTTGAGACAGGGTATGTGTGTTTATTAGAAGAGACTTAAACTTTAAAATGAACCATATGTCTGCTTATTTGAAATTAGGAACTTAAATATTTTCATATTGGTCCAACCCAAAATTATTATAATTATTTTAATTTCTATAAAACAGATAAATTTACTTGGCTTTAAAACAATAACAATAATAATTTTTTAAAATAATTTATTTAATTTTATTTTGTGTGCTTTTAGTATGAAGGTGTCAGATCCATTAGAATTGGCATTACAGACAGTTGTGGGCTGCCATGTGGGTGCTGGGAATTGAACCCAAGTCCATTTGGAAGAGCAGACAGTTCACTTAAACACTGAGCCATCTCTCCAGCCCCAATAATAATTTTAAAACAATAATGGGTCCAGAATTTCAGCTATTCTTATGCTGTTTTTATACTTTTTAAAATCTGGTATAGGGAAATGTTCTTGCCCATAACTTTAGATCCACCTGCTTTATTGATTCAATACTTTTGCTGGAGGTCCAATCTGCCAAGCAGAAATGACATCCCACCTCCAAGATGGCACTGGTAGGAACCACAAACTCTTAGCCCTGATCATTCCATCATGTAACTGCCTTTTTTTAATTTATTTGCAAATTCTGCTGTAGTTTGTTCTTTATTTCTATAAATACAATCATGCACACCTACATTTAAAAGAATTAACAACATGGATGGGTTTGGTGGCACACACCTGTGATGCTAGCATTTATGAGACTGAGATAGCTTTGAGGTTCAAAGCTAATCTAATCTACATTTTTAAGACAAGAAAATAACATTCAGTTAGAGACAATGTTATTGAAATTTATCATTTTGCAATGATGGCATACTGTCTTATTATTGAAAGTTTGTATTACTATGAAGTGAGAGAACTGAGTAGACAGATTTGTTAACAAGTTACCCTAATCCTGCAGATGCATCTACTTTATGTGTGTAAAAATCTTTTCCTACGATAAGGCAAGTTTAGAAAGAGTTATCTTTTATTCTCACAGTGGTATGTGTGTGGTAGGGGATTGTCACATCCTAGATGTCATTACAAACATTGCCAAAGTTGTGTAACTAATAAATATATAATTTGTAGACATAAAGACTTGATTGCTTTCCAGTTTAATGAAAGTCTAGATGTCATTGCAAACCCACAGTCTCTACCAGCAGAGTTGAATAATGCAGACTTAAGAACAGTGAGTCCTCTCTCTTCAGAACTCTGTGAGAATCTGTCATTTAAAAATTGCAGGAAAATACTGTGAGGTTTTATAAGAAATAAAATTATAATATCCGAATTTGGTTTTAAATAGATTGTACATTACAGAGCAGACTATGTTGGGAAGTGGGGTGTTGAGGCACAGTGGTGATACTGATGCTTCTTGCAAGCCACCACTCCCAGGCTGAGCTCTTCCTGGAATAGCACAGCTTTTTTTTTTTCTGTTACTGAAAATAGATTTTTTTTTCATACAACATGCCCTGTGAGGTGGTATCAAGGATGAGAAAAAAATTACTATGCTATTGAAATAGCTCTGAAAATATGGTAAAAATGGCAATCTAAAGAAAAAATTAGATGATAAAAAAAGATATTTTGTCTCCTGGGAACCCCTGGGAAGGGGCTGGGAGACTAGTGGCAAAGAAAAATTATCTAGAGGCCTCCGTCAGCCACTTCAAACACAGACATCTTGACAACTAGCAGCCATCCAGCAAAGTAAGATTCCATGGAAAAGCTACTGAATTAGCTTCGAGATGTTACTCAGCTTCTTGGTGACTTCTGCACCTCATTGTGAAATGAGTAGACTTTACTGCTATTTCTTATCTTATAGGAAATTTAAAGAAAACATATTTATTGAGTACATGGCAAGGGGCAGCTTATTTAAGACTAAGTCTTAAAGATTTATAAAATATTTATGTATTAATTTACATATGTTTATGTGTCTGTGGTACATGCATGTTCATGTGGGTGTGTGGATATACATGTGGATGATAGAGGTTTAGGTCTGGTGTCTCCTTTTATTACTCCCCACCTTATATTTTGAGATAGGGTCTCTCATTGAACCTGAATTTTGCCAATTTGATAGACTTGCTAGCCAGTAAGATCCAGGGTCCTGTCTCCAAATCATCCCTCTCCCAGCAGTTTGAATACAAATGTCCACCACCATATCTAGATTTTTTTTTCTGGGTTAGAAGACCAAATATATGTCCTCATGCTTGACTAGCAAGTACCTTATCAGCTAAAACCATTTTTCCAGCTCTGTAGAATGCATTTTGAAGTTTATAAAATATATTATAGGAAAAACCTCCTGGCAGTATTTTGCATAGTAAATAATAGCTATTACTGTTGGTTACAGGTTAAATTATTAAAAGTTAATAAAATAGCATACTAAATATAACTTTTTGAGACAAGATTTTACCATGTTACCCTTATTATCCTGGGACTTGCATTGTGGACCAGTCTGGTCTTGAACTCCCAGAGACTTGCCTCCTGTCTCTGTCTCTGCTTCTGACTCTAGATTAAAGTAATATACCACCACAGCCCATCTAAATATAATTTAACATTGCTCAAAACTACCCAGTGTCTGGTTCTTGCTGATGACAGTAACAGAACTGCTTATGCTAACATCCTAATACAGTTTAATCCTGTAGCCAGCTTCTGAGCTCTGAAGGGATTTTTCTCAAGGGCAATAGCACTAGTAGCCACTAGTAGTGGCTGAAACACACTCATGTAAATACTACTGTTTTGTTTTGTTTTTTCCTTTTTGTAATGATCCACTGGAGATAGTAACTGACAATCACACTGCTTGTGCCAATTAAAACTTTTAAGTCCGTTTTATTGAAGGCCAGACCAAGATCAGGCTTGAGCCTCTGAAAAGTCTCTTGGTGGCCAAGTTCAGGGATACATAGTTTTAAAGGCAAAACCCACGAAGATATATCAAAATTAGGTGAGGGTTAGAGTAAACTTAAAACATTTATTATTGGCAGAAAATAGTAGGTTTTTTTTTTTACATAAATTGTCAATTATTTTAGTTAATTCTTCTGGGCCATGGTCAAGGCCCTGGAAATCATAAATGTGTTGCCAAGGCCAACTTGCCTGAGAACTCCCTAAGCAGTCATAAAAAGGAGTAAAAACAAGATGGCATTATCTTAATCATTTTATTTTCATTATTTTTTCTACTATGTTCAACCTCCAAGTTCGCCTTGTTGTTTTTTGAGAAATCATTTCAAAATATATCAACTTCTTTTGTTTGGCTAAACCAGAGACTGGAAAGAACCAGAGACTTGGTCCAGAACAGTCTTCCAATCCCATAGGTGGCGCTGAAGTACTACCAGATGAATTACTGACAGCTGGAGAGGTTCCTCCGTCCGACTACCAGCGCTAGCGATTTCGTCATCACGTTCTTGTTCGTGACAGCCGCCCGCGTAAATTTGAAATGGCTGGTGAATTGCGGTCTGTTGTAGTTCTGGAGACTAAAGGTATGGTTCCTGCGAGGTCTGACTTGGCGGCGGCAGAGGAACCGGCGTCCTGGCAGGAAGGTGAGTACCTCAACCTGTGTCAGAGGCTATTTCCGTGGCTGCCGGCGCCCGGGCAGCCTTAGGACGTGAGTATCTGTATGGGGATGGCTGGACCCACTCTCGCGACTTCGGAGTCGGGAGGTGCCGTGTCCAATTTAGGCTATCCATCCTCTTGACTCAGCTTCCCAAGAATAGTGGGGATTGGGAATTCACCAAATGAAAGGGACACAGGGATCTTTTTTTAAAAAAAATTTTTTTTAATTAATTACAGTTTATTCACTTTGTGTCCCAGCTGTAGCCCCCTCCCTCGTTCCTTCCTAATCCCATCCTCCCTCTCTCATCTTCTCCCATGCCCCTCCCCAAGTCCACTAATAGGGGAGGGCCTCCTCTCCTTCCCTCTGACTCTAGCCTACCAGGTCTCATCAGGACTGGCTGCATTGTCTTTCTCTGTGGGCTGTTAAGGTTCCCCTCAGGGGGAAGTGATCAAAGAGCCAGCCACTGAGTTCATGTCAGAGGCAGTCCCTATTCCCATTACTAGGGAACCTCTTGGAGACTGAGCTGCCATGAGCTACATCTGTGCAGGAATTCTAGCTTATCTCCATGCATGGTCCTTGTATTGACCCAAGATTTTGATTTTGTTTGTTTGTACCTACAACTAAGGGATCATGTGCTACACTTCTCCTTTTTGAAAAGCAAAGTTGAACTCTGTTGCTAAATATCTGTTCTTAGCACTGAGGAGAGATGACTCACCTACAGGCAGAGCTGAGTTGAAATAGAATCCAAAAATAGAAATAACCCAATTTTTCTAACCCTTAAGTTCTTTATACTTAGTCATGGAGATTCTATTTCCATTTTAGTTTTTATTTGCCAAACTGTATCCTTGGATATGCTATGGAAGCACTCTACCACTGAGCTACATCTCCAGTTTCTGTTTGGTTTTTTGTTTTGAGGCAGGGTTTATATATAGCCCTGGCTGACCTGAAATGCATTATGTATACCAGGCCAGCCTCGAACTCAGAATTCCACCTGTCTCTGCTTCCCAAGTACTGGGGTTAAAGGCATGCGCCACCATGATCTTCCCTGTTAATTTTTTAAAGCTAGTCTATATTAATACATTTAGTTATAAGGTGTAGTGGAAAGAGTTCTGTTGAAGAAATCATAGGTGTGATTTAATTCTGCTAACATGCTTTGTGAACAGCCAAAAGTTGCTTATGTACGGATTACAGTTTAGAAAACAACCAGTAGTTCTGATGTGAAAATAAAATAATATGAAGTCAGCTTTAAAGTGGCTATAAGGAACTAAACTTGTATGCTATCATATAAGAAATATTTAAAAGTTGAATTTATAAGCCAGGGGTGTTGGTGCATACCTGTGATCCCAGCAATTGAGTAGTGGGAGCAAGAGGAACAGGGATAAAGGGCCATCCTTGGCTACCTAACAAGTTTGAGACCTGCCCAGGCCACATGAAACTCTATCTCCTTAAAACCAAACCAAAACAACAGTCACAATAAAACATAGAACTTAGAGAAACACAGTTTACTTGATGGTTTCCCAAAAGGTAGGGAAACTGGGGACATATCAGAGGAGAATGAACAGCCTGAAGAGTAGAGTAGATTGTGTGCTCTCACCATTTAAAGAGGCTATGTGAAGTAATGAAAAGCTTAGCCTGTGGTAAAAATTTAATATATAAATATGAACATCTCCAGTGAATGAGGTTTTTGGCTTTTTTTTTTTTTTTTTACTTTGTTTCTTGGAAAAATGTTTAATCATTTCATCAAAGACAAATACTTGGCTGGTATTTAAATTTAACGTGTTCTTTCATGTCTATCTCATAAGAGAAAAACATGAAAATGGTTTCTGCATCAGTTTCTTCGGTAACTCAGGCACTTCTTTAGTAGCAATTGGTTCAGTTCAAATCATTGCTTTGCTTTTAAATCATGCAGTTTAGATGTGTGTACACTGATTTTGGGCATGTGAAGGAGAACTGGAAAGAAGCTATATGTGCAAAGGAATATTTAACTTCTACACGTAGAAGTTTAAGGCATATGTACAAAGGCTGATTGATTAGAACTTCAGTGATGTGGAGAGGTTGAATGTTGTAGGTCTACGGCCTAATTACAGTTTAATCATGGGCTACTTTAAATAATCATTCCTTGCCTGTAGAGGAATTTTAATTCAGAACATAGCTGTTGTGGCAAGAGATTACATCCAAAGACCTATATCTGTGTGATCCAGTTGGAACACAGACATGCCTTTAATCCCATGAGACAGAGGCAAGCAGATCTCTGAGTTCAAGGCCAGCCTGGTATAGAGCAAGTTTCAGGTAAAGAAAATCTTAGATCCAGGCATTGTGATACATGCCTTTAATCCCAAACCGTGAAGTTAGTTTGTAAGAGGAAGCACCTGTGTTTGAAAGTGATGTCTAATTGAGTAGCAGAAAAGGTGACAAATCAGAGAATATTTGACAGAATAGGATACGCCTAATTTTCATGAGAAGAAAAAGGAAAGGAAAGCTACTTAATGGGCAATTAGAGAGAGAGAGGAGACCCTTTTACTGGGACAGAAATAGAGAGACAGATTGCAGAGAAAGGACACAGGTGAAAACAAAACAACCCAGAGAATGAGAAGAAACCAAGAGATTAGAGCAGATTTCAGTAGTTTGAGGCCAAGCAGAACAGTCAGAGGCTGAGAGAGAAGCCAGATTGAATCAGTTAGCTGGGAGAGGAGTTTGAGCCAGAACAACTGAGTTGAATCAGCCAGCCTAGAGCTTATTAAGAACAAGTAAGGGTAAGCTTATTAAGCAGTTAGTCTCAGAGGCTGAAAACAACCTAGGCCTAGGTTAGATTATACAGAGGCTAGAAGCTTCCAGGACCAGGCCTAGGTTAACAAAAGGAGGCAGTAAGCCTCCAAGACAACAATTACAACAGAATAAATGTTCCTTTTACACTTACCCACCTCTGTGTCGGATCCATGACTAACAGATGAGTTAAATAAAGTTGAAACTAATGTCTTTTGACTAGCAGGTGCAACTAAAAAGCATTTGGAATGTATTAACTTAACAAATCATAGTTTCTACCAATCAAAGGACTAAGAATGCTGTCAACATCTGAAGTTTATAGCTGAGAGTTCTCTGCTTGGCTTCAACTCACCTCTTCTGTTTCCACCAATATATTTGAAGAGTGCCTTGATTTTTTGCTTATTTTGTTCTATTACTATTTAAAAAAAAATTTTTATTATTATTATTATTTTTTTTTTTTAATGAAACTGCTTCCATATTGGAACATAGAATTTGGGCTAGCCTAAAACTGTATTCTCGGATCATGGTCATTGCCCTGGCTAATTTTTTGGCAACTTTACACAGGCTAGAGGTATCTGAAAGGACTGAACTACAGCTGAGAAAATGCCTCCATAAAATCCAGCTGTAGGGCATTTTCTTAATTAGTGATTAATGGGGGAGGGCCCAGCCCTTTGTGGATCATGATATCCCTCGGCTAGTGTCCTAGATTCTCTTAAGAAAGGCAGAGCAAGCCATGATGATCAAACCAGTACACAGCACCCCTCCATGGCCTCTGCATCAGCTCTTGCCTCCTGGTCCGTACCCTGCTTTAGTTCCTGTCTGCTTTTGACTGTGAACTATAGTTATGAACTAAAACTATGTTATATGGTACTGTGGGTGAAATAAACTCTTTTCTCCCCAAGTTGCCTTTGGTCATGCAGTTTCATCACAGCAATAATAACCCTAAAACAGTCACTCCTTATTTGGCTCCAGAATAAACTTTCTTATCTCTTTTTAAGTGATAGTTCTTTTTCTGTATTGATAGGACCATTTTCATTTCATTCTTGGGCCATCAGATCACCATAACTGTTGGATAACGTACACAGCATAGTGTCACTTTCACATGTGGGAAAATAATACTCCATTTGATCCTTGTCTTTCTTTCAAGAAACAGTGTTTTAGCTTCTGCTATGTGAGCCTTTAAATCCACTTTTGAAGTTGAACTCAACATGGCAGACATAATACCTGCATTGGGGAACTTGCCTTTGAAAGAAATTGACCAGTTTTACTTGCTGATAGAAATTCAATCCAGGTTTTGACTTCTTTTGAAGAGATCTAGTTCATATGTGTACATTATGTTCACATAAACTTTCCCAAAAATTCCTTTATGTATTTTCATTTTTTTTCACAAGTACTTACATAGCAGAAATAGGATGTTCTACCCACTCAGACCAGTCATCATAGTGATGGTCTAGCAAGCCCTGATAGTCTTTCAACTTGAACTTATTCTCATGACTTTTCAAATTCCAAATAGTTAATGACACAGAATTAATCAAATTTTCTGTTCTTGGATTGATTTAGTGAAGCTATGTTTTTATCTCATGTGGTTATTAAGTGTGTTTTATTTTCCTAACAATACGAGCACTGTAAATTACCAAGTTATTTTTTCCTGTAATGTATATAGGAATTTACTGTTATTTATAGTGTCTGGAAAACAAATGTTGAAAGCATAGTCATGTTTCTGAACAATTAATTCTTCACTGCTTAAAATATACAAATGCTGTGGGTGTTGGTATCAAATTGTTCCAGAATTTCTTTCAGTGTCTGTTTCTAAAGCTCTTCACTAAGAATTGTATCTTCTTGTGAAAATATTACATAACACAAAATAGTTATCTTGTTCTTCTAATGAAGCTATGAAATTTATTAACATATTACAAAAATCTAGGATGGGTAGGGTGGGGTTTTTTGTTTCTTTTTTTCTTCAATATGAAATGTACCTTTGGAAATATGCAACCAATAATGTTGATTTTACAGTCATAGTCTCAGTAATCATGTGCTTTAGAAATTTGTCTTGTTCAGCTATGTGAAAATGCTGTCCATAAAAAAATACAAGCTGCAAATGGAGAACCATCCAAAGTGAAAACAAGACAAGGCTGTCAGGAACAAGACAAGGCTGTCTAACTCTCTCCAGATCTATTCAATATATAGTACTTGAAGTTTTAGCTAGAGCAATAAGACAATGAA